AATGCTACAAAAAGTGCTCCCGATCCACTTGCATATTTCGACTTCCTGCATCTCTTACCATATATATACGTGGTAGAGCCATGCTGCAGTTATATTAGTAGTATAGTTGTAGCACGAATGGGTCGGCTCGACCGGGGAAGGACCACGCTCTCACAGAATACCAGCGTGAAATAGTAGTTTTTTTTTTTTGTGGTGCGGACCCTTGTCTTCATTAGTCCTCGGGTGACAACGCATCTGCATTTTGATTTTTAATGGAGGATAGATGTAGATGTCTATGGGCCGCAGCAGCCACTTACCATCAGGTGGACTGTGTGCTCATTTGTCACCCTATTCTATAAAAAAAAAAAATTGATTACCAGATGAAGCTGATACTCAAGAACTTTTTTCTTTACTGCTTATTGATTCTTCGATATGGCCGGCCCATTGCCTCTTCAGTTTACGGATCCGTTTGGCTATATCGTTTACTTCTACACGTTTGTTTTAATTTAATTTAATTATACTCTTTATTGTACACCAAATATAACAAAACAAAAACTTAAATTTATAAATTTATGTACAATTAGGTGGCCTTATAGCTAAACTGCGATCTCTTCCAGGCAAACCATAGTGAAGGAGATCATTTTCATTTAAACATTTATATGTAATAATAAAAATAATAACAGATAAACGAACAAAATATCTGGACCAGGCTCACGAGGTGACCGACATGTGGGGTGGTCTGCCGACTGAAACTATTGCTGTAGTCGTTTCTGCAAACGGGTTAATCCCAGTCAGCCTCTCGATCATCTGAGGCGACTGGGACTCCATGACGGACCGCTTCAGGCTCAAATGCAGAAGGCGGTGCTCCTCGATACCGCCCGCATCGTCCGCCGGTTTCTCTCCCCTTCCCCCTAACCCTCGGCCGTTTAGTCTCCCCTGCCGAGGGCCTCCATCTGGTTGGGCTTTTATTTATTTATGTATTATTTATTTATTTGTGCTGGTATATGAAATACATATTTATGTATATTTATCATTTCCTTTTATATATTTATTCAGCCCAACCAGATTAGAATACAACAATAATAATAAAAAATAATAAAAATAAATAGTAAACAAGTAAATAGATAAACAAGAATACTTTAATAGTATAAGCTATATATCATATATGAGACAATGTGATAATGAGATACATAATATTATACATAAATATACACTTAAATACCTATTACACAGATAATATCTAAGAAATGCCGTCTATTTCACTTTCTGAGCGACCTTGAGCTTCCTTATACCGTCATCAGTGAAGAACCATACCTTAGATCCTCATGTCATTTATATTAATATTAAGTTTCTACAGTGTTCTATTATAGAGTTTCGCCGTTACACCTGTTATAAGATGGATTGCAGCGTTAACAGTAAAAACGGTTCCCGCCTTTCGTCACCATACGAATCACACCAATATTACTTTGCTATTTAATGATGGTATTCTGCGTGAGCTCGGTTCTTTCCAGGTCGAGTCAAGTCATTCGTGTTGCATCCACAACACGCCGCAACATAGCTCCACCACTTATAAAATCTACGACTTCACCACCTTCGAAACTATAACAAATAATAATAATAATGTTTATTTCTCCTCACAAATACCGACCATACATAATAAAAACTTATATATATTTAAATACAGGTATGTTCACACTCATAGCCCAGAATCTGTGAAGAGCTGGTGTTTGAGATAGGCAATAAAATGCCTGTATTACAAATCACCAGGTCTCCACCCCATGAGATATAAATAAGAGCATTATTTGTAATTGACCGCTACAGATAACAAATGACTTCTTCGTGTTTTCCTTAAAGGCAAAGTTCGTGATTAAACGTCACGAATAAAGTAAGTAACAAATAAAAATTAGTGTTTTATTTTATCTCTTGGTAGATGATATTCTTAGCACCCCCTACTCCGCCGTTACCATGGTCGCCACCGTAGCCAGGAATAGCGGGGACGCCGGGGACTGGTGGCCGTTTATTTGTGTCGTTGCTCATGGGTAGTATATTGCCATAATTGCCACGTTTAGTGAGCGGGATGACAGCCGCAGTTTTTATTTTTGTTTGCTGTTATCAGAAAGATGCTGTTGCCCATCTTCTGCCTCAGTTATATAGCATAGATGTATTTCTTGTTTTCGAGTTTGTCCTAGGACGTCATTCACAGAAATGGCGGACGATAGGTCTTGTCGTGTAACAAAACCCGCAAAGCCCTTTATGCACACTGGTTCAGATTTTGCTGGCCCTTAAGATTACGCTTGCTCGTGGACGTAGTGTAAGATCCACGAAGGCGTATGTTTGTATTTTCGTATGTTTGACTACTCGCGCTGTACACATAGACCTCGCTGGTGATCCAAGCACGGCTAGCTTTATGGGTGCTTTTAAAATATTTCTTTCTATCCGTAGCCCCACAGGTAGAGTGTACTCAGATAATGGTACGAACTATGTCGGAGCAAAATGTATTTTATCGGAGTTATTATTTATCTTTTACTTGTTTTTAAATCGCACCGCTTAATCTATAAAGGATCATATTACTCTTTTAAAGTACTTAACGAAAATTCATGACTTCATACATTAGATTAGCGATCAAAGTGTTGCGCAGAAGTGTTTACTACGCTGAATTGCGCTTTGAACGATGAAAACTTGGAGCAGTATTTACAGTTAAACGTACGTAAAATTTTATCAATAAATAAATCTTTAAAAAAGATCGTGAATATTTTGTAATATTTTAAAAAGCACTCAATTTGCTCTAACCCATTTATTAATAGCGTTTATTTAGAATGATTACTTAGAATATAGTGACACAGTTTGATAAGAGTTAACATCACGCAGCACGCGGTGATTTCATTGTGATATTTTTTTTTTAGAAAAGATAAAGTTTTAGGACACAGTCCACCTGATGGTAAGTGAATGCTGTGTCAAAAGATATTTACATTTGTTATGATAAGAATCAAAATGTAGATGCATTGTCATACCCGAGGATTTAAATAGAATGTCTCGTTACACTAAAAAGGGTAAAAGGGTCTCCGGTTCTAGTAACTCTCCGTACGAAACACAGCAGCATTGTAATCCTATTTCACACTGCTTTTCTGATTCGATCGAGGGCCTTAACTGGTTGATTGGACCTTTTTCTGCCGTACTGATATTATTATGCTATGTTTCGTATGGTGATTGTAAAGAACCGGAGACCCTTAAATGAGTAAGTGCGAAACAGGTAGTACTGTGATCGCCAATCAGTCTGTAATTCTGTAATCAATAATAAGAAAGGCAGTTATCAGCAGTTGACTATTTTGTGGTTATAAAAAAGAGAATTTTTAGCTTTAAAAGATAAGTTCTATAATATTAACTCACATTATATTATCTTTAAAAATTATATTATATTTTATTTAAAAGGAAATAATATTGTATTTATTATCTTTTGAATAATATTAACTTTTAAAAACGAGAACATTAATTAACTCTAAAATTAAAAGCTGCTCGTCAAACTAATTAATACATACCGTTTATTTTTGCACGTGGATCATAGTTAATTAACTTTCTCATATTTTAATTTGGCTTCTTGCAAAGTAGCACCTGATTTATTTAACACCTATTAATTTACTGATCTCAATCCCGATGGAGTAAATCTTTGTATTACTTATTTTTATTTTATACGTACACTTATCAGTGTCGCAAAATATTGTGTAAGCCCTGCCCTACCCGTCTCATTACAAAAAGTAGTTTGCAATTATTATTAGTGTCAGGTTTAAGGTAGGAGTAATTATTTGAAACGGACTATCCGTTTCAAGTAATTACTGCTATGAATAAAAAGGTGAAAGAAACCATGTAAAGTCGATTTTATTAGCAAATATCAAATTTTGCGAAGATTCAATAAATTCCCGACGAAGAGACTTCAAAAAATTCTGTGTCCTAGTAGATGTTTTTTTATGGAAGAGGGGGCAAAGGATTATGGGATAGATAGTGTTCGAGTGTTGATGTATTTTTTACTTGTTTTTAAATATGGCTACTCGTTTTTTTTGCGCTCGAAGCAAATATGGCTCATAGCATAGCGCGCAGCCGGCTGCGTGGTTATGTGGAGACTTTTACCCACTAAACACCGCCTTTATGGATTGGCTTACCGTTCTGACGAGAGATCTCTAAGCCGTATACGAACGTGACCCTCCTTGGCAGAAAGGAGGGCGCATGGCTACTCGTATAGTGTGTGACGATGAAACACTAAATAAGGTTTTTTTTAAATAAGGTGTATTTTATGGGACATCACGAGTAAAGACTTTAAAAGTCATTTGTAAAAGCCGCTCAAAAGCAGATTTTTCAACTAGAGATCCTGTATATAAATAAATGTACGTGGCACCTAATAGCACTTTATTGCATCGGGAAACATGTTATATGTATGCCGTGTAGGAATCGAACCTGCTACATTACCGAGCCATCTAAAAATCGTGCTTTTCTCACATGCCTTTTCGTATATTATGACCGAGCGATGTAACCTGTAGTAACAAGACTCAGCAGATGTCAAAGACAAATAAGTATAAAATGATACATACGCAATAAAATGATGTCTCCATGGAATTAAAAATTTATTAAAGAGATTATTTCGACTTTATTAAATTATTATTCTACTGTATTTTTAATGTATGGTTTACGATATATGTGAGGTTAGTTTCAACCGAATTTACTTCTTAATGCAGTCCCATGGTAATTGAAGTAAGTCAGTTCCGATGATATTCGAAGTAGGTTTATATTTTTTTAAATGATTATTTATAACAACCTGCTAATAAAATAGTGACGCAGTAGCCAAAAATCATCATTTTTTAAATTTAAAACAGTTTATTTGATTTTAAACAATAACACACATTCTAAGGCAGTATGGTAAAAATGTCTTTGACGTTTTTATCTGTTATTAGAGAATAATTAGGAAAAATGTAATCAATATAACAATTAAATATCGATAATATGTTGAAACAAACGATGTCGTTAAAATTTCATTAGTTATCAATATTATTTCTTATCCAATCTATGTATTGAAATACGTTTGTATAAAGGGAAGGCACTGCTGTTCCACACGGGGCATCCGCTCTTTTTCCACTTACGACGCCTATGACGTAATATTGTCCATCATAGAGCATCATCAAAGGACCTCCGGAGTCTCCCTTGCATGTGTCCTCTCCAGTTTTTCCCGCCGCGCATAAATGAGAGGCTGATAAGTAGGGGTAGTATTGCTGGCACTCTTCATGCGGGACAAGGTTGACTACTGTTGATTGTTTGATGTCAGACATATATGGTCCGTTACGACCCCAACCAGCAACAGGTAGAGGTAAGCCGTAGAATACTTGGTTATCTACGTTGAGTGGAGGTAAGCATATCGGTCGGATGAATTCTGTAACAACAATATTATTTTATCAATTTTATAATTTTTTGGAAATGGCGCTCAATATACAATACAATAGAATACAATACTCTTTATTGTACACCAACGAAACGAATATAACAAATAATGAAGGAAAAACGAAAGGTAGTCTTATTGCTACATAGCACTCTCTTCCAGACAACCCAGAAGAGGAAATTGATAAAAATAAAAATAAGATTAACGGGTAAGGTGCACTAAATAATTAAAAAAAATACAAAATTATATACTAAAATGACAGCATACTTTAGGTAGATTAATGATCGTAACTAAGAGGAGGAAGAGAGAGTAGTTAAAGAGGCAAATAGTGTTCCTTAATCTGTTTCTTGAAAAATAATAATATAAACAGGCCACAAATGATATATATTTTTTCTATTGCTACATTATATTTGTTCTTTGCTCTTGTTAACGTCTACAAGAATTAGGGAATTTCTAATATACAATTTTTGTTTTTGACAGAAAGAAATGAGAGCAACAATAATATTATGATACACGTTTAGCGGCCCGGTCACACATTTTATCGTCATTTAGATGTTCACAGTTATAAATTAAATCGTGACTTAACAGAATTAATCTCCCTTTAAAAATTATTGGGGCTAGTGATAAAAGTATAAACTGAATGCTTCTTTACACACAGCGATAACATGATTCGTTATATCGACTTTCCACAGGATCTGCACGATCCCTATTTTTCACGATTCTTGAGCATTTTTAAATATTTCTATTTTATAACTGTATGTCTTAAACTTAAACATTTGTAATAAAAGCTTAAAACACGATTCGGAAAAAGTCGTTGCGTGAACGAGCTTATTTTATTTTGCCTTATCGTAGAAATTTCTTATCGTTTTTTTGATATTTAATTATTAAAAGAGAACGATCGAATTAAGTTATTGTGGCCCCGCCTTTAAATTGGATAATGTACAAAATGTTATTTCTACTATTATTTTTTTATTATTTTTAAAGAAAAGATTTTGATATATATATACCAGTGTAAGGCGCCATTCCACGAAGGCGTATCAGTGCGATATCGTTGTAGAGTTTCTTGTCATCGTATTCCGGGTGTCGAATTATGTTCTCTGCATGTATTATTACGTTCTCAATACACGTCTTTTCGCCACCAAAATTAAGCTTGCAATCTCTGGGGAAAGTGCGCTTGTCATATTCTGCCATTGTGATTTCAATACTGAAAGAAGTAAATTTAGACATAATTAATAACAAATCTTATTTTATACTTTATACACAATGTATTTTTAATAAGTTTTTCGCTTTTCGTTCAAATTAATACAACCTTTATTTATTAAAGTTTATAGGCGAGTATAATATTTGTGTGATTATATTAATAGTAAGGAATTTGAATATTTTACTTATTTGCATATTATTCTAAACTGTACAATCATTTATTACTATAATAAAAAAGGAATGACATAAATTAATATGTCACCATTTTTTTACGGTCTTGCCATTAACTTGTATATTCAGATTAGGCTAAAATAAAGATATGACATACTTTGAAAAACAGATCCACAGTTTTTCTTTATTATCGCTGTGAATATAGAAATTATTGTTGAAACGAAAATTCTCGTTACTTTCAAACAAGAGTTCTACTGTGGCATCAATACTGCCTACCCAATAATGTCTCCTATATCGAATTTCGGTCACGACGACCACTCTCAGCTTAGTGTGAGCACAAGCACAAATGCATTCTATATTCTCTTACTTTTATAGTCCGATAGGACTGCAATTCGATACAACTGGAGAGACCAGATGCAAGATTAAGGTTTTATGTATTTTCCGGGGCACATGGATGAAACACCACAAACTTCCTGAATCCGAGCAGCTACTGAGAATTTAATGATAGAAATGCCTAAAAACTGTTTTGGCCTGACCCACGATGTTTATGGATTCGAAGGTTGGATCACACGATTAGGAGTCGCGCTTAACGACTACAAGACCAAAAAGGTCGTCAGACCAATGAGGCAGGCTCCCAATATTAACGATGAGTTCTGACCAAGTACGTACCCAAATTAATGCATGTATTTGGTTTGATCGCATTCATTCCAAAATTTATTCGACGATACGAAATTTAAATTGATAATAACGAAAAAAACTTTTTTATTATGTGGCAAAATAACATTGATTAGTTTGCGCAAAATTGTGAAAATTTAGCTCGAAGTATCGTATGAATTTACAAAGGAACTGCAATAAACTCGCTCTGAAGCTGGTTTAATTTAAGTCGGCATACATTCACAATATTAAGTGGATCCTGTATAATAGTTGAAAACGTCCATTTAATGATTGAACTGAAAGGAAACAGCTAAACCATGTCGAAGAAACAGCTTTCGACTATATGGTGGACCTGTGCATCTGTATAGCTTCATGAGATCTAGACAAACAATAATTGCAGAGATAAACTGTCAAATATAATAAAGGATGAAATGAAAATGGTGGCTATCAAACAACCAAGACTTGTCAACGACTTGACTTTCCCTACACTGCGCTATATCAAAATTGGAGGGCATTGACTAGAAGCTCCCCTCTAGATCGTTCTTGCCAACCTTACTTCTAATGATTTTCTTATATTTTGAATGTAAATAACTTTAAATTCTGAATCATCGACTGCCTGCCTGAGGATTTCTATTGTAAAGGCAGTCAATTAACTTCCATTAAAGTTTTGAAAACTCATGGAAAATAATAGACACTACTTTTAAATTTTCACCATACAATAAAAAGCTTCCTTTCAGAAACGTCCTTTACAATAAAAAACATCAAAGTCATAGACAATTTTATGATTCAAATATGTTTAAATATTGAAGTACTGACCCACTAAGTGTAGCCTCTTTTTCATGTATGCAATGTGCAGCTGTGAGAATGTATTTTGAGCTAATTAAACTGCCACCACAGTTGAAAGAAGTTTTATTTATACCATAGTCGAATGTTATTTTCAGAAGTACTGTCCACGGGAACTGATTTAGTTCAGTTTCTGTACCACCTGGCAAAAGAAAAAAAATGAAATTGGTTAGTACATTCATGTTTACTTACAATTTTTAGAAAATAAGGGATTTTTGGCAAGATTATGATAAAGTGAAAAAAAAATTACCACTAGGTCTACTCAGTGGTCGTTTGTTCTATTTTCATTTGCCAAACAAAGAAAAATAATTAAAATACCTGCGATACGATTATCTAAATCTATCTCAACTGTGCCATTTTGATTTTCTCTCGTCGTTCTCCTGTTATTTCGCATATACATAAAATTGTTGCGAATACGTTGAGTAACCATAATTTGTAAATCTAGAAAAAATATTTTTTATTGTTTTGATTATATAAAATACAAAAAAAAGTAAAGAGAATACTTTAAAGGCTGTATTAACGTATGATTAATCTTTTACTAATTTCGTTAATGTATTCTTTATTACAAAACATTAATTTACATACCAGTAATCCCCTCACCACTAGACATATCTAAGCCACAGCATCCAGAGATAGGGTCGGGTGGTAAACTTGTTAATCCTTGACATTGGTTGTTCAATTTTGGTCCGCCCAGTGTATTTCCATTTCCATTTGTACCATGGAAGTTGGGGCCATGACTGGGTGGGTATATTGGAAAGACATTTTGAATTGGACGTTTTGGAGGATTATTTCGCTCAGGATACACTTGAGTGGGAGGTTGTTGTGTTGGATTAAAACCTTGTTGGTAACTATTACAGTTAGGATTATTTGGGTATGTTTGATATCCAAAATTATTTTGCGTTGGAATATTTGGACATGGTGGATATTGGTTAGAAAAATTTGGCTGCTGCCCATTGGGTACGAACATTTGTGGAGTTTTCGTCATTGGAAATTTTTGTTTTGGGTAGTCGTTTTGTTGATCGGATTTATAAAAATTAGGTCCATTGTGAATGTTTTGGTTATTAATATCTGGCTTTCCATAATTTGGATAATGATTACCAAAGTTATGATTATTATCATCATAATCTTTTCTCCAATTACTCGGACGTTGCGTGTATCTAATGTCTGCTTGATGGTTGTTGTCAAAGTTTTGACCACCGTAAGGTGGGAAATTATTAGTGTACTGCGGGTGTCGTCCTGGTCTGTTATTAAAAACGCCAGGCTGAACATATCCTTGATCATAAGGAGATTTAGCAACATCTCCTTGTTCTTCGTTTACTATACTCCAAACATTTAAACCGGGACAACAAACCTAAAATCGAAAGAGTTGTTAAAAAGTGAACTACAAGTGTATCAATTATTTCATTATTGTTTACTTAAAATGTTATAAAAAGATACTATAAAAATACGTTAAATTATTCAAAACCGGTATAAAATACCAGATTACAAGAGTTAATAAAAATAAATTTAAAACAGGTTATTCATGTGTTTAATAATACCAGCTGAGATTATGACCTTTTTCAATATTCGTCTCTACGCTTTGAATAATTTTGTTCTTTTACTAACTTAAATACAAATTTGTTCTTATTGCAGCGTGTTCAATTCGACACATCCCATCATGTCATATGATATACTCATGACTCACGAACAAGCATAATGGATTAATTAGTACACTCGCAAATACATTACCCTCCTTCTGTCGTGGGCAGTCGGGTAAAAATATACACTCATTTATATTATACTCTACTCCATTAGTTAAATAAATGAAAAACAAAACTTAATTACATAATCTCCTCTAGCAACAGTTGCAAATCCATAATAGGGACTTGATTCTTTCTCATTCGGTTGTTGACAAGGGAATTGCTTCATCCATCTTTGTTGTTCGTCTCTATTCATATTGTTAAATTGCGGACAGTTATCTAAATGGACACATTTCTCGCAAACATCTGAAAAATTGAAATGTATTTATGTTCATATGACAAAAAGGCGCAAAACCTTATATAGTGAGTTCGTTGAATGGAACTATTTGTTTATTAAAATATATCGAAATATGTTTCATTATCCTCATAGCAAATTAAATTAAAAAGCATACTAGTGTGTTCATTAATATATCTAATATATTAATGGTACATAATAATGTTAATGAAATATTCTCTGTTCTTTATACTATCCCTTCTTTATACTATTATTAGCTGGGCAGGCAGACTTTTATCTGCCTTTCCCGACAGGCTTTGGTCTTTTAAAGATCCTTTAATCAGCAATAAAAATTGTTGACTTATATATAAATACTATCCTCTCAACTCTACCCTGCTAGAGCAAGGAATACGCATATACAAAATTTCATTGAAATCCGTCAAGTGGTAAACGAGTTCATCGCGGATAAACAATGTGACACGAAATTTTTGTATATAAAGATAAAATAATAATATAATTTCAAACCGCTAAATTTTGTTGCAGTTTCCTTAGATCGCTTGTTTCCATAACTCCATAACCTAATTTCTCCCCATAGATGTCGTATTAGTCAATTATGAGAAATGCTAGGAAGATTAGGCTAGGCTCTGATAACATTGTCATGTTTGATGGTAACGGCTCTAAAGAAGAGTATAATAGTGCACTCTGAATGGATAAAGAAGAGACAGAAAATATGAACTGTTATGTTAATACCTTACATAAGTATAATATTATAAAACTATTTTTCATGTCAAGAACTAATACACAGTTAATTAAGTGATTTTAAATTAATTAAACACTATAAATTTTATAAAGAGAAAAAAAAATACCTTGACGAAAAGCACTAGATAAAAGTAAATTAAATGATACAATTAAGATAATTAAGCACTTGTGCATTGTTAAAATATTTAAAAAAAATCCACTAAACATTCATTTGCGTTACCGCCTACCAGGCACGATATTCATTAAATATGTATAGAATACGACTGAAGTTCAACTGGTTGCGGGAATTTGCCAATAAATGAGTGACGTATAATACTCGTCATTATACTAATAATTTTGATGATACTAGAAATCGTTACGAATTTAATTACAAATTGATTGATTGTAAGAAAAATAACAAAATTCGAATTATTGTGTGTGACAATGGATGTTGAGCTACCAGCATAAATGCTACTCATTAGAATTGTAGATTTTTTATCGATGTAAGCTAATTTAAATTTTAAAAATAATTTATAATGATTTAGTTATAAGCGAGCATCTCACAGTAACCTGATGATGGTAAATAAATAATGCGGCTCATGGATACCTGCCAATCAATTCCGAACAAGGAAGAACACATATCTGTTGTCAAGAACACTAAAAGGAATATCTCAGTCTGTGATCATACTGCCTAATATAAATGTGGTCCTTCCCCGTTCGAGCCGATACTTTGATGGACATTGAGACCATTATGACAAATTCAAAATCTACGTATTAATTTGTTTAACTCGTGAAGGTACAGATATAGTGCCTTTCTTTGAAATTACCACAGTGGTAGCAGTTGACTCAATTTTGAGCTTTTAAAAAGTACACAACCCACACACACACACACACACACACACACACACACAGCACACACACGCACGCACGCACGCACGCACGCACGCACGCACACACACACACACCACACACACACACACACACACACACACACACACACACACACACACACACACACACACACACACACACACACACACACCCTCATTTTCGTCGGGGGTTAAAAATAGCATACACGTAACATATTATGTATATAGCCAAAAAAGGTATTTGCAACTCTAAAGGTATTTGTCCACCCGTAATAAATCAGCCAATTATGGCAAAACATGTCAGTTCCACATTATTGAATATCTTATGTACCATGTTTCTAAGCAAATAAATTTTCTATCAAAAAATATAAATGATGTGTGTAATGACTATCCATGGAGCACCACAATCTTCCTTAAGTCCTATGCTACGACACTAACGATTTTAACTAGTAGACCCTATTACGCCTTTACTTTAGGGCACGCTTGGTGTCTAATTCAGATATAATTATATTAATTAATATAGCAAATTCAACAGATAGATAGCAAATTCAAATTTATCTGAATTATTAAATATGTGTAACAAATTTCTAACAGTTTTAAATAGGAACGAATGGGTCGGCTCGACCGGGGTAGGACCACGCTCTCATAGAATACCGGCGTAAAATTGCTGATGTGTTTCTTATGGTGAGTGTAGAGAACCGGAGACCCTTTTTATTGGAAACGAGGCATTCCATTTCATTTCTAGGGCTGGCAACGCGTCTGAATTTTGATTCGTGATTAATGATAAATATAAATGTCTATGGGCCACAACATCCACTTACAATCAGGTGGACTGTGTGCTCGTTTGTCACCCTTATACTATAAAAAAAAGTGTTACTGATCTAAGCTCTTAATGAGATCGCTCGAATTTGTGGTAAATATCTCGAATTCTCAAAGTGAATAGCAAAGCTGCAATCGTAATTGGCCAATCAGTCGCCGAAACGAAAACGGAAATGCCGAACACGCACAGTACGTGAATCCAGAATTCAATTATCATGGTAATAGATGCTCTTTACATTGGTTCACACAATCAATTAGAACAAATGTCGCTTAGTGATTTTCGGTCTATTTACGTGGTGCATTGCAAATTAGAAATGAACATCTGTTTGCTTTACTAGACTGCTACGTACATATGATATCTTAAATCCTAATATATCTATAAAGGAGATTTTATAATAATTTGGTTTGGTGTGACGATGGGGTAAAAATGACATGTATAATATTCTAGCAGAAGCATTTCATACATATTATGTAGATTAATTATATTTTTCTTCGGTTTTGGTTTTTTTATAGAAGAGGGGACAAACGACCCTACGGTTCACTTGATTTTAAGTGACTACCGCAGCCCATGAACAACCGCAACACTAGGGGAATTGCAGGTGCGTTGCCGGCCCTTTAGAAAGGAGGAAGCTCTTTTCTTGAAGGTCTCCAGGTCGTATCGGTCCGGAAAAATCGCGGTGGTAAATTATTCCACAGAGAGGTTGTACGCGGAAGAAAACTCCTTTTGAAACGTACAGTGGTGGACCGCCAAGCATTCAGATGGTGTGGATGGTATCGGGACGTTTGCCGCGTAGTGCGTTCACGAAATTTGGCGGCTGGGATTAATCCGAACAATTCCTCAGAGCACTCTCCATGATATATGCGAAAGAAAATGCAAAGAGATGCAACATCTCTTCGTAGTGCCAGTGAATCGAGCCGATCTCAAAGCACTCGGTCGTCGACGATTCGAGCCGCTCTGCGCTGGATGCAGTCAAGTGGAAGCAGCTGGTACTGGGGAGGCCCAGCCCAGAGATGGAAACAGTATTACATGTGCGCCTTGTAAAGTTGCAGGCGATGTGCTGGCATGAAATACTGTCCCGTTCTGCTAAGTGCGTCAAGCTTTTTAGAGGCCAATTTGGCCTTCTCTTCCAAGTGACCACGAGACTGCACGTCACTCGATATGTCGACGCCGAGGATTCCGATAGCGGATGAGAGGGGAGTGCCTTGAGTGCTGAAATACGACAAAGGGGTGCTTTTTAGTGGTTAACGCGCAAACTTGTATCTTCTGAGGGTTAAATTGGACTAGACTTAGTCGCCCCCAATCCGAGACTTTATTCAGCAACTCTCTCGACTCGACTTCAGACACAAGTTTGTCCTGGTAATCGGAGACGTTTTCCCGAGAAATTTTGGGACGGCCGGTGTACAGAGCATCATGAACGTTACAGGTTTGCAACATATCATTGATATGCAGAAGATATGCATTGGGATTGGGTAGCAATTTTATACAACCTAATGATGAAAGAATTCAAACAGAGAAGAAAAATATTGATTTATCTAAATTTACTTGAATACTTTTAATTAATAAACCTATTTTCACACCTGAAGTTTCCAGAGTTTTGTTAGTAAGTGTTATTGAGGCGTAAAAATAGTTTTACTCAATGAGAAGAAATATATTAGTTAACGTTTGTAAAGAAAAACCAATGCGGTGTTTTTTGGGAAAGAAAAAATCTCTTTAGATTAGTGAACATCTAAAACGTCTGTTGAATTCGATGTAAATAAGGATCCTATAAAAGGACGAATTATGTATTTAATTTATGCCACCGCTCCTAGCTGTAACCGGCTAAAATGACTATTAACTAAATTTATCGTCTGGTTTTCAAATTCATCCTATTCGATTTAAATTAACTATTATATATATATATATATATATATATATATATATATATATATATATATATATATATATATATATCATAGGCATGTATGTCATATGGGGGTAAGGTCCTCAGCCAGAATATTCTCACAGCAAAGGATCCACTGCATCGACTTGATAATTGACAAGAGGTTTTGTTAAGTTGTGATTTAGTGGTTTTGTACTAAGATCCGTGGTCTACAAGGTCTAAATTCAAAACTGAACCCAAAGCGCGAGCAAAAATAAGTAAATTATAGTATAAATAGTAAGTTTCGACGTTAACGAATAGATAGGAAGCTATTTTAATTGAATCCAATATGAGGACTGAAAATAAAACATAGATATAATTTAACGAACAAAGATGTTTTAGTTTGTGCAACAGTTTGTTTTGAAGCATCCAGAAAACAAGGGTCAGCAGTCCGTCAGAGGAAAAAGTGTTTGAGCTGAGCTCTCTTAGTTTTTATGATTATAACATCATCACGCATGAGAGATTAAAAAGAGTTTCTCAATTTCCTGCTAATAATATTATTGTGATAAACCTAAGACAAATTATTGTATCAAAGATAACTCCTAAATTCTTAGAAGTCTTTGTATAAGTAATCTGAGTATTATCGTCAGTTATAGCAGGAAATTTTGAACGCTTAATGAGTGCAAATGTGGGCTACCAATAATTATAACTTCAGGTTTAGCAAGAAGGTCGAAGGAATTGCCCAATAATTGCCAATAGTACCTACCCAAGTCAGCATTGAGCATATTATGAGCTCCCTTTATATCTTTGATATCTAAATTGGCGGTAAAATTATAAATCATCAGCGGAAAGGTGAAAGTGGTAGAAGAGAAAAGTATTGATAGCATAAATGAGAATAGGGCTAAGAAGTAGCAAAAGAATATCGACCTGAAGGATGCCGCAGTTAGATCATACCACTCAATTCAAGATATTACGGAGGGTAAGATTTTTAAAGACGAAGGATTGCAATAATAAATTACGAGAAGCAAACCGTAAATAATGGAATTAAATGCACTCCTGAAGTACAGCAATGTTAGAACAGTAAGATATCTTTTGTCAATGGCACAGCGAGACATTTTAATCAGAGCGCTGAATGTGCTGCTACGGCCTGGACGAATACCAGATGGAGCAGAACTCAGATTCTTAGTAGTTAGGATTTCCGAAAGTTGCCTTTTCACCATATTCTCTAGGAATTTACATAAGATCGAAAGAAAATATATAGGACGAAATTGGAATAAGAACATGACATATTAAATGACATATTAGATTATACATGGTAGAGCCACGTTGCAGCTATATTAGTGGTCCTACCCTGGGTCGGCTCGACCGGGGTAGGACCACGCTCTCGCAGAATACCGGCGTAAAATTGCTGATGTTTTTCGTATGATGAGTGTAGGGGACCGGAGACCCTTTTTACTGGAAACGAGGCATTCCATTTCATTTCTAGGGCTGGCAACGCGTCTGAATTTTGATTCGTGATTAATGATAAATATAAATGTCTATGGGCCACAACATCCACTTACACCACTACAGCGTAAAATATCATCCTAATGCTGCTGTGTTTCGTATAGTGAGTGTAGGAAACGAGGCAGTCTAGCTTAGTCCTCAG